CATTCTATGATTCTATGAATTCTGTTTGAGTTTTTTGGAACAAAATTCTGACTGCCAGCAATATCAGGCCCTAGATGAGCCCTTTATGAATTCCTTGCAGACTAACTAAATCTGTGTGCAAATACAGGCCACAGTCCCACAAACACTTAAACACATGTCACTCACAGATGTAACTATTTAACCTTCATTTCAATGCTGATGCACATGTTTACAGGAGCAAAAAACCAGTTGCATCTCTGTAATGCATTTTATAAACATGAGGTATTTGCCAGGAAATTGTGTGCTTTGCTTTATGATGCTAAAAGCCCATTAAGTAGGATTTATCTTAAACTTCTTATTTTTTAAAAAATAACATTTCACAACACTGCATTAATTGCATAATTTACCTAATTGGTGATGTTGACTGATGTCAATGTTAATAGCAGAATGTTATTGTCTGCATACAAATAACATTAGTTTTCTGCTGGCACTGAAATTACAAGCAGTAAATTAAATTAAATATTAAACATTAAGTTGAAATCAATAGTGCAACAAATCTCATTAAGGGGGAGGGGGTTGTAATATGTAAATCCATTCCAGAATTTTATCACGATGAATAATGAGTTCATTACAAAAACACGACTGCAGAGGAAGGAAATGAATATGGAAGAGCCATTACAGTAAGAGCAACTTCTGTGGAGTTCAAAGTAGATCCTTGGCTGCTGCAAACTGTCACAGCCCTGCAGAAGCTGATGCATCACCGCATTTTAGATAGCGCAACGTGAAATGCTGATGGGATTCAGATGGAGGGAATTAATTCCACCTTCATGAAATGCCCTGTGAGTCTGTTATCAGGCATCCATTTCCTGCCTTAGACTCTTAGCTGAACCCTGCAGGAGCCAGCTGTGCCCACCCTGGTGACACGCAGATGCAGACATGTGGTCCTCCCAGTTGGTGAGGTGCCCTGCACTGGGGGCAGACTGGGCTCTGGGTTTTACATAGGGAATACAAACACAAAAAAGACATGGACCAGTTAGAATGAGTCCAGAGGAGGCCACCAGGATGATCCATGGGCTGGAGCACCTCTGCTATGAGGACGGGTTGAGAGAGTTGGGGCTGTGCAGCCTGGAGAAGAGAAGGCTCCGGGGAGATCTTATTGCAGCCTTCTAGTACCTGAAGGGGCTACAAGAAAGCTGGGGAGGGACTTTTCATAAGGGTAGTTAATGACAAAACAAGGGGAAATGGGTTTAAGCTGGAAGAGGGGAGGTTTAGATTAGATATTAGGAAGAAATTCTTCACTGTGAGGGTGGTCAGACACTGGAACAGGTTGCCCAAGGAAGTTGTGGATTCCCCCTCCCTGGAAGTGTTTAAGGCCAGGCTGGATGAGGCTTTGAGCAACCTGGTCTAGTGGAAGGTGTCCCTGCTGATGGCAGGGGGGTTGGAACTGGATGGTCTTTAAGGTCCCTTCCAACCCCAACCATTCTATGATTCTATGATAAGAAATCTCTGAAGGTCACCTAGGTCCAAATCCATGATCATTTTACGTGCTATGTAAACCCAGAGGTGATGGAATTCAGTCTATCTTGCAGCTCTACCCCAGTACCTTGAGCTGTAGCTCTCCACACACTCCGGCTTGCTTCCAGGAGAGCAGCCACAGCCCTGCCCCATGCCTGAGAACCACGAGGGTCCCCGGCCCTGTGCTTCCCTGCCCACGCACCCTGGGCACGCCGGCACACCTACGCTTGCCGCTATGCCTGAGCTCCTGGACACTTCTCTCCAAGGCAAGGCCTCACTGGCAGCACTGTCCATTTCTGCTGCCACACAAGGCAGTGTCCTGCCACAGTGCCCTGCCACAGTGCCCTGTCACAGTGCCTGCAGGAGGAACCCTGTCCTGAGCACAGACAAGTTTCTGGACCACCTAATGCTGCCCCAGGCCTGCTTCAGGTGCCAATGACTTTTGCTTGATAGGGGTTTTCGTCACCTTCCTTACACACATATCATCTGACTCTTCCCAACTGCAGAACAGAAATATTTGCTGACCACGTCTGCCTTTGTACTAGCATAAGCAGTATCTTTATTTCATATCCAGCAAGAGATTGGTACTAAGTTAGATTCCCTTTTTGCTCTTGAGAAAACTGTGATTATCCTCAAGTTTGCCAACCACGGATCTTCCTGTTGTTCTGCTGTTTCCCTGATTAGTTCTCTACCCTTCTTTAATTTTTTTTCACATGTGAGACCATATCTTTTGAATGTCCTGAGAAATGTTCTCACACTGTTCCTAATTTTAAGCATTTTCTACTATTTAATTTTTATCTCCCAAATGATCTAGCTCAGGATCCTTTTCTGCTTTGTTAATTGAGGTCTTCTAAAGTACCACATATGTATTACCAGCCTGGACTTCATTTTGGCTTTGTGGGAAAAAAATCAATTTCAGTCGACACATGATCCCTTTTACCAGCTCATCCCACAATTTTTATAAAATTTCTTCAACTGCTTCTTTTCTATAAAGATGAGCATTAGTACAACCTCTCCTTCCAAGCTCAACTTGTCATTTAGAAGATGGTTGTACCTATGACTCCTAGAAATGGCAAAGGCTTTTTAGTACTCGTAACGTCAGATATCCAGGTGTCCCCCAAAATACAGCTCTCCTCCCCAGTTAAAGCACCTCTCCTCAGTAACCCAACTCATTACAGGTGACTACCTAAGTAGCATGTCCCTGTGGTCCAGGAAGGGGCTGCACTCTGCCACAGTCATCAGGTGGTAGATGCATTGTTTTTGTTTGGGAAGATGATTGATTTTGGCCAGTCACTTGGCCTTTCCTAAGTAGGTGTTACACTGTGTGTGATTTTAAGATCTCAACTGGAATGAAAAAGGGAGTGTTACATTGCTCCTGATGGAAATACTAGCTGATCTTGGTTGCTTGGGTTTTTATAAATGTTCACAATGCTTTCCTTTTGTCTGTAAAGACCACTCAACATATTTCGTTGACAAGTGGAACGACCTAGTCTCACTTCTCCTCTGAGATGAGTCTCCTTTTATCTCTTCTGATAAAACTGCTCAGAGGGAAGGTGAAGGAATGCATGCCTTTGGCTTGCTGCCATTCAGTTTCATCTACTGAGAAATCGGGCTGCAACTATCACCTAGGAAGTGCAGCCGTGGTGTCCGTGTATGAAGAAAGGTGACAAAGTGCTTCATGACATGCAAGGGAAATGGACTGCCAATGTGCAATCTGAATAAAAACAGACTGGCTTGCTCAAGATCCATTTCCTATTTCCTTAAACCTGTCAACAGCTGGGATACAACTATGACGGCTCTCCATGATAACATACCGAGAGGTGTTTTCTCTGCTGAAGGGGCCCATGTGCGAAGTTGTTCTCTTGGAGCTTTCAGGGCCTGCACACAGGTTGCTTTAAGGCCCTAATGTGGGCTTATTAGCTCATCTGTGGCTGGCTGGATGATTGTTTAGTCTCAAGTCTCCAATCTTTTTGTTTTGACCACTTTTAGATTACACTGGTGGGCAGCAGAAATCCCAGGGCTTTGGGGTAGGCACGGTGCAGAGCACTGTGGTGTCTGAACCATGGCAGCACCCTGTGACAGAGCTCTAATCCGTGCAAAAGAGAAGTTCAGCCTGTTGGGGAGGACACCGAGTGAAGGCTCAGGCTTCAGGTAGCAGCTACATGTACAGTGCAGGTCCCAGCTGCTCACATGTGGTGTTCTTACCTGATGGTTAAGCCAGGAGCTGGGGATCTCGGGTCGCCCTCTGTCTCTTAGGACATTGTCCTTCATGCTTTCCACGCAAGGGTGTTCTCGCACTTTAGAGCCAAACGGGGGCTCATACTCTTTCACTTCTGCCAAGAGAATAAGCAAATACAAGGGTATTCAGCTGTGCTGTGCTGGTGCCAAGCGTGAAGGGAGCTGGCTGTTCTCTGGAGGAGTAGAAGCTACTGATTAGCTGCTCAGTGCCACTGTTCTGCTTGACCAGCTCCAAACAAAGCAAAGCCAGTTGGCATTTTCAAAAATGTTTCAAATGTGTTTCTCCCATACGCTCCTTCCCTCCCTTTTTCTTTCCTAGCCAACTAAACAATTTTAATTTAAACCCTTTAGTACATAATCATATTAGCCACAGCCAGAGCAGCAGAGTAACCTACAATGGTTTGTGAGCCTTTCAATCTGTGCTGAGGCAAAACACACGAGAGCTTCAAGGTGAGTTTTGCTTGAGCCAGGTTTGCAAGAACTGGTTACTTTGGTCCCCCTTAGGTCCCCTGGAGGCACAAACATTTACCAGGTGAAATGTAAACTGAACTATACCTAGGTAATGACAGACGTTAATGTGACAGATTGCTAGGAGGAAAGAGTTGTTGAAAAGGACAAAGCTGCAGTAAGGAGCAGTGCTGGAAGCTTCTATGCCACCCTTGGATATTATTGAGCTGTGTTCCTCTGTAGAAAGTAGTAGTCTGCTCTTATTTTAGCCCTCTTCCCCAAAATGGGTCAGTTTTGGCCCATGATGCGGGGGGCACAGCTTCCTGAAGGGGTTGCTGCTATTCCAGTTTTTGTTTGAGTGTTGCATATTTTATTTGCTTTTCTTTGGAGAGAGAAAGGAAGAGGCAGACATATGGGAACTTTGGAGAAAACTCAAGAAATCTCTAAGAGCGGAAATATTACAGTAGATGCTGACACAGTGTAGAAAATGCTGTGGTTTCTTTGGGAACAGATGGAGACTTTACTCACAGGCCTAATGACTTGCTAGTATTAGATAAAGATTTATGAAATTGGCCTGTTCTGCTGCTTCTTATTCCTTTCTAGGAATTAATGGAGGGCAAGAAAAACTGTAGTGTAATCTACAAGACAGTCTGAAGAATGCATGTGAGTGCCCAGAAGATGTGTGAAGAGAGATGAACGAGACAGGAGACACAGTACTGTTGTGTAATGTTACAAACAAAGTTCAAATGGAGTGTCCAGTACTCCTCACTCCTCTCAAGGGCTAAAAAGAAGCTCCTAGAAGGGTGATAACAATGATTAAAGGCCCATAAAAATTTGGAATAACCTCTAAAGCTTGGCTGTGTTTCCTTTGGAAAAGTAAGAGGTCGTATGGTAAAATACTGAAAATAACTAATGATCAAGACAACACAGGTCAGATCTTTCTGATTGTCATGTCTCATGATAAAAACAATAAATAAAAACAATGTCGTATTGAACATAACTAAAAGGTGGACTTTTCTCCAAAACCGGAGAGTCAGGCTGTAGATCCCATTTCTATGTGACGGTCATATATAGGCTACAGAAAAAGAGAGGGGATTTCTAACGCTTAAAAAGAATAGGTAAGATATGATAACAAACATTTTGGATGGGATATTAAACCTTGTGCTTCCAAGTTCAGCATTGAGAGATCCAGCTGCAAACAACTGTGTGTGCAGTGCAGCAGATCAGCCCACAGATGCCTGCTGCAGAGCTTTCTCTCCTTCTCTTGAACCATCTGGTGCTGGCCACTGTCCACGCAACGCTGTGGAGAGTGGCTATAGTCCCGAAACACAACTCCTATCTTCTCATACATAAATCACTTTCTTTGGACTCAAGGGCCAAAGTCTGCTTTGCTTTTTTTCCTCTACAAGAAGTCATACCAGTTCCACCCGCATTAATCTGCGTTAGAGATTACTCAGCCAAAGTAAATTTACTAGACTATAGCCCTAGAAGTTAATTGGGAAGCTGCCATTTTGCTGGTCAGACCTGAATTCCTGTGTAGTGGATGCACAATGATTACAAAGCAGATACCTTTACTTTCAAAGCAAACCAAAATATTGAAGTTTGCTGGGAAAATTCAAATAGCATGACCTAGACAGCCATTTCCTACATCATCTCCATCAGTCATGGTCTGATTATAGTGGTGGTCATGGACACCAGCAAAGGCTCTGGGACCTTCTTGCAGTATCAGGAGTCAGAGGAGTCTGAATATCCAACAGAGAGAAGCTGGTGTTGCAGTGCTGACCTGTTCCCTCTCACTGAGCTTAATCCAGAGGCCATTCAGGTTCATGAGATGGTCCAAACAGGAGAAGAGAAAACTGATAAGTTTGTCATATATTTTCCCTGTTTGAAAAATCCTTTCTATGCTATGAGCATTCTTCATCAAAATACAAAGGCTAAATAGTTTCTTTTTTTTTTCAGGTTTGGGTTTTCTGGTTTTTGTGTTTGTGTTGGATTTTTTTTATGGCAAAGAAAGAGAAATTGAAGTCGGATGCCAATTCACTGTAATAACTTTATAGTAATACAGTCGTGCCTTCCCTCAGTTTGAAAAGCATGCAACATATTCTTCCTATTTATTATCTGGCTTCTTTTTCCCTTAGAAAGGAAAGCCCATCGAATCCTCTCACAGTAAATCATTCTTGTGCTGTGGTATCTCAGATGTCAGGCATATTTTGCAGTAATAGTTGGGGTTATTAATGGATGTTGATGTGCTTCAGTAGATGTAGCAGATGTCACTTTGAGGCAGGTTAAGATGTTTGTGCCTAGCTGCTTGTGCACAGCTGTATACAGATGCTGAATCTATTTTTCATGCCTTATATGTTTCTTTTGTTTTTAGACCAGTCAGGCACTAAAAATGACAACTGGCTGAAGTACAATAAATACCTCAGGTACCATGAACTACAGCATGTTTAGTGTTCAGTAATGGCAGGGTTCCTTCAACTTTAACTTCCAGCATTTAATCTTTATGGTGGTGAGCAACCTTGCACTGATAATTGCTGTACCTCTGGTTCCCTTTGACGCTGGTCTGGCCATAACTCTCAGAAAGGCTGGGACTGGATTTTTAGTCCCAAAAGGAGACATGACTTAAAATCTATTTGTTGTTCCTGATGAATGCTTTGGAAAATTTGGCCATGGGTTTTTCATGAAAAATACGCCTTGCTCATGATCTTTTTCTACTCTAAGCTTTTTGCAGTGATATTTTCTTCCTTTGGGTCAGAATAGCATACCCCCCAAACTTTGTTGACATTCCCTGTCTTGCTGACTTCTGTGGAACAATTTCTCATGCTGAAAGATGAAGGCTCATTTCTAGAATCAAAACAGGAGTGAGGTGAAAGAAGGCCACCAAAAATCAACTGTGGACCACAGTCCACAGCAGTGGGCTTGTGCTTGGGAACTTTGAAGTCCTTTTGAAACACATCTCCTTTTAGAATTTACAAGGAGAGAGCCACAGAAGGGATAAATTAATCGATGGTGGAGCTACTGTGACAGCTCATGCACAGACACCCACCTGTCTGTGTGTGCAGATTGTGTCTTTCTTCATGCTAGAGGAATTTGGGTGGTGGATCTACTTAGCCATTGCACAAAGGTATTATGCAGAGGCTCAAAAGCCATTTCACATCAAATTTAAGGAGCTGCCAAATGCTTACTTCACATTTACCCTAGGTTTCCATATTTCGCTCCTTCAGAATACAGGTGCTGGCTGGGAAGGGTGAGGATACGTTGGGATGAGCAAACTCATTGTGCATTTTCCCTTGCACAGACATATTTTAAGTGACTTGGCATTCGATGATCAAAGACACAGCCACCTTTCCAAAAGTTTGGGAGTGCACAAGCTCTGCTATCGGTCTATGGTTACAGGCTGCTTAGTCACTGTGTGCTGGATCCTGAGGTGGGAAAGTAGAGGAACACTGCACATGAGCACATCAGCACTCAACACGGAGTGCAGTGCAGTGACCTTATCTACTCTGTTACCTGGGCTTGTTGAAGGAAAGCACTTGCTATCTTATGTGTAGTGCTGTGGTGACATGTAAATTTCTAGGACACGAGTTACTTTCACGGGGTGATGCTGCACTGTGTGGATGTCCCAGCTCAGGGTTATGTGCCACCACAAACCAGCTCAATGCAGATGTGCCCTAGCTGGGCTCCGCTTCACAGAGGGAGAGGCTTAAATCAGGCCCCAGCTAAAGCCACCTCAGGGCCCAATGCACAGGCATAGCCCCACTGTACAGGTTATCAAAATGCTTCTTGCTGCCAGAAACTGTCACCTCTCTATGACAATATGGTGAAAGCTGAGCATTTCACGAGGTATAGGATGCACAAATGTTTCGTTACCAAACTGTGTCTCTTGGCTGACTCTTTCTAAGTAAGCGTAAGATTAATTAGTGATTTTATTCACATTAAACACAGCTCTGGTAAGGCAAGGCTGCCATTTTAAACACAACTCTGATGCTATACCCAAGCCAGCCACCACTCCAGGCAGTACAATACTGCATGAACATCACCATTTTCTGAGGGGTTTCTCTTCTCCCTCTTCACCAACCCCATGTATCCAGAAATTCCCTTTCCTCTCCTTCTCCCCTTCCACCCCTAACAGTCCCTCACCCTTAGCAGCTCTGATACAAAACAGATGGTTTTCTTTTCTTTCTAGAAGGCTGTCAGAGAAATTACACTTGCCTCAGTCACCAAAGCTGTGTTGCTCTGAAAGCAAGTGGTTGAGATGAAAAGTGTATTTCTTGCAACGTGCAGCATCTGGTGCACAGCTGTTGTGCTGAATGAAATACCAAGTTAACAGCAGCATGGAGCAGTTGAAGTTCTCCCCAAAGTAGTATTGCTGAGTTTCTAAATATGCCTCTTAAATTATACTCCAGTGAAAAATCAGTCAAATTCGATCTTTGCCTCTGTCTCCCTTTCCCTCGTGCCCTATTTCTGCTTCTCCATATTTAGCACAACAAAGTAACAATGAACAGCATGGCCTTCCTCAAAAGCTGATCCCCACCTGCTTATTTACTACGGCAGCTTCACAGTACGGATTATGCTGCTGGGTATTTTTGTTTAAAAGTCTGCTGAATGAAAAGGCCTGGCATAGCGTGGAGACTGTGTCTGACAAAGCTGCTGTAGCGAAAGGACCTGCCTCCGTCGCCTCCCACACTCACTAAACACCTGCACGCTCACAAATGAATCCTGAGAGCTCCCTTTGTAAAAGAAATAAGTCACTGTATCTTTACACGGCTGAATGGCAATTAGTCCACCCCATGGTTCCCTCCCTAACAGAAGTTGCTAATGCTGCTATGGGCTTTCTCTAGCCACAGGGAGCCCAGACCACAGTCAAGCCTGCCTTGCAAAGATGGTGCCTACATCTTGTAGGCTCCTTTGGAAAAGCTGGCTGCAATCAGGTCAGCCTACTCCAGCTTATCTGCGAGGTCATTTCTCCCAGTGCCTAAGAGTTTAGGAGGAAAAGAGGGTTTGCATGAGCAGAGGCAGATCCTCAGGAAGGCTGCAAGGAGGGAAGGGAGTCTCGCAAGTGACAGATGGAGAGAGAAAGCAGAGGGGAGTTGTAGTCATGAATCACTGTAAGGGTATTTCACCAGCTGGTTGCAAAGATAGCCAGACTGCACGAACTAGGGGAAAATCTAAGAAGGAAATGAGAGAAACTGCAATGCTGCTGCAGCTCAGTACCAGTGACAAGTTAAGGGAACTATATCCTGGGACTTGTATTTAACTGCTCTGGATGAGACACTAAGCCCAAGTTCCACCCCCTATAGATCTGGCCAAGTACTCCTGTGGTTTTGCTGGGGTCTTCACCCCGGAAAGGGAAATGAAATTCAAGAAATGTGTTTCTGGAGATGAGGATGACTGAGAGACAAAATGAATAGGGAAAATCAGGATGTGGGCGGGGGTTAAGCTCCACCTTGAAGTCAAAGGGGATGCTGGGCCAGAGAAATCTTTCCTTTTCCTGAAATGAATTCAGCTCTTCTTCTCAAGGTTATAATGGGTCAGTCTTTTCCAGCTAAACATACTGGTGATTTTCCTTCCTTAAGAAACTTCCTTTATATCCCCTTTTAGGCAGTTGCCTTCTGAGAACAGCAGCAATAAGGTTTGCTTTTGCCACAATCTCCATTTTGCCAGACTTGGCAAATATGAACAGGAAGGGACTCAGGCATCAGCAAAGATAAAAGACTCCACAGTGAACCGAATTAATAAGGTGAGTTCTTAAATGCAGGAAACAGAGAGAGCTCAAGAGACAGGGCAAAGATCCTTTTTCTCAGGTTTTAAATTTCCTCAGCCACATTTACAAAGTGCTAATGAAAGGCTGAGGTTGTGCCAATGCACTTGGAAACAGGCATGACCACGACAGCTAAATGTGGACAGGTTTGCCTTGGAATATGCCAGACTGAGGTTCAGTTCCTGAAGCACCAAATGTCTTTTCCCTGAAATGTTTGATTAGAAAAGAATTTTTTTTCATGCTTTTATGCTAGCACTAGCTTTCCACACACATACTCGCTTTGTAGCCTTCCCGGCAGGGTGCAAACAGGGGCAAATCCATTGCCCACAATCCAGCCCACCCAGCAAGACCAAATGTTGGTCAGACATAGGAGGAGACTGAGGTGGAGGCATTCCTCCCTTCTGCACACGAACACCATGTGCAGAGTGGCTTCAGAGACCTCCATGGACACCCTTGTGGTATCCCACGGATGTTAGCAGAGAGACAAGAAGCAGCTATGCATATCTTCCCCATGGGACATTGGTTTCCCTCCTGTACACTATGTTCCTCGTACTATAGTGCTCTAGCCTGCAAGATTGTCCTGTTTCTGTGGCAGCCCTTTGAGATGGAACCATGCCAAGTTCAATGAAAAGGGAGCCTCTGTGGTTTTCGAAGAAGGGTAACAAATCAAATCATAGTTGCGTATCTACTATAATATCCACATTAGTGTTACCTTTTACAGCCCCACTCTGCAGGCTGCCTGTGAGAGCCCTGGCCTGTGCAGCAGTTTTTGTTAGAATGAATGTTAGACAATTCCAGCAGACTGAAGAATTTTATATGTAACTTAATCTCATTTTAGTCCCTGAAGTAAGGTGAAAATCTTCAAACATGGCAATATATAATGCAGATATCTCAACAGCAACTTTTCTGATTTCTAGCACATACCAGTTCTGCACACTGGGAATTCTGGGGCAGCATTAGCCAAAGCAGAAAGGGAGATTTTGTTTCAGTGAACAAACTCTGAATATGAACAAGCATAGCAGCTTTTGGTGGAGCTGTCCTGATAGCCAGTTCCAGTAATTTTTACTTTGTTACTGCACTTTATACAACAAACATCCCTTGATCTCTCATACGGGTGATCTTTTGCAATGTCACAAAACATGATGAGCAGCAGCTGGGGATTTTAGGAAAGCAGAAATGTTTCTGTGTCACTATGGTGGCTCTTACTGAAATAATCAGTTAGTAAATGTGACACTTAACTGTCCCTCATTAGGTTTCAGAATTAACATTCCATGAAAGTAAATGGGAGGTAGTTATCACTCCTTGGTCTTAATATTTCAAATTGTCTTATGTTTCCAATTATTTTGGGTGAGGTCAACCAGACTGAGTCAACCCATGGCTACTCAAGATGTTATAGGAAAAAAACAGACATTAATAATTTTTAAAAGTGGTCTTCCTAACAGCAGATTTATCCTTACACCAATTGAGGACCAATTTTCTCATGCACTCAGGTGCTTGCCCTTCAAGCCTGCTCATGCACAAGTGCATCTCTTACTACTGAAGGCCTATTAGTTTACAGCATGCAGATACACTAGAAAAACTGGTGAGAATTAAAAAGAATCACCCCCTCCCCAGACAACCACGAGAGCCATGTCTATCTAAACGTACTTTTAGGGAGAAGAAAACTGATAGCACTTACCTCCAACACCGTTACAGCGAGATGTCATTTCCCAGAGGACCAAAGCCATGGAGTACACATCTGTTTGCTTGAAGGACTCAACATTCTCCAGGTTCATCCTGGACTCTAGAACCTCAGGGGCCATGTACCTTGCTGTGCCAACCTACAGGAGGGGAGATCAGGGAGAGCTCAGGAGCAGAAATTGTAATTCATGTTTTGGATTCTGCTGTGATTGAATTTCAGCTTTCACAGAAACGGTGCCATTTGACATGTATCCAAAAATTCAGGCCATACTTGGCACAGGTCATATCTTCTGCTGCCAGGGGAATCTGGCATTGTCCTGACTACCAACTTACTTGCACCTCCCTTGGTAAAATAAAATTAAAAAAAACTCAACAAAAAATAAGCCCTTTTTAGTTCCTTAAACAAATAATTTTGACACTGACAAGCTTTCTCACTCTTTGGCTATTCACAGATAGATAAACTCTGCCCTTTGGGCCTGAAGCAACTGCTGATGACTGAGTGTCTTTCAGATGAGCAAGAAACACATCGTATTCTCTTGTCCTGCATATTACAGTGTTAGCTGTTTCTTTTCATGGTAGGCTTAAAAGGAAGGTGGTAAATGCAGGCCTGGCAGAAGAAAGCAAATACACAAATACTGAATGCAGAAGCACACACCTGAATAGAACCCCAAAATCGGCTACTTTGTTTGAAAAGCTGTTCTCATAAACTTTATTTGCACTGAGCAATTTTCAGTAACGATTTTAGCAGCTTTGCTGAGATCTAGATTATGACCTTGCATTACAGAAGGCAAAGTTTAAATGTCTGTTTTTATCACAAGAAAGGATTTAAGGAAGAATTTTTGGATCACTCAACAGTTGTTCTCAAATTACAAACTCTTCACAGGGCAGGTATAAAAAATGTATCCCTCTTGAAAAACTGCAAAGAGAAGTCTTTCATCAGGCAAAGATAGCTTCAAATTGGAGACCGGCTAATTGCAGAAATGAACAAGCACATGTAGATGATGCAGTAGGACCTGTGGTTTAAATGAACTGTGAGTACTAGAGCAATCACTCCAGAGCCCAGAGGCAAGCAGGACTGCAAAAGCTGATTTCAGTTACTGGATCTGCAATAGCAGGCAGCCACATAGTAAATATACAGTCCTGAGAGAGAGCCCTACAACATCCATTTTACAAGCTTCTGTAAACATGTGTTATCCCCCCAGGCTCAAGGGAAATGGGAAGATGTTCCACAAAAGGTGCAACGCACCGTAAGAAGACAGTAGGAAAGATCAAGGACATAGCTTTGTCTGAGACCCTTCAACAGCAGAGAATTTGTGTGTCAAAAATATCCAAATGATTGTAGGATCAAAGCCTTTATAAACAGAGAACAGAAAAAAAACAAAACAAAACAAAACAAAACCAAAACCAACTGTGTGATCAGTCCCAAAGTTAAATTCCCTATTACGTGGACTCTGTGATAAATTTAAGGTCAAGAGTGTGAGTAACAGCCATAGACTGAACAGGTACTTGGGACAATTATGTCCCAGCACCACTCAGATGACCAGCATCTCTTTATCCTTCAGAACATGAATGTATAGAAACTGTGTGGCAAAGGCTGTTCCTACCCCACATTTTTTCCCCAAAACACAACTTCTTCCCGAAGCAGATCTCATCCAAAGCTTAAGAAGGGTTGGTTACCTGTACACTACGGCCCACGGTCCCAAACCCTGCTGATTTTAACAAGAGTTAGTGGTGCCTAAATAGAGATTCTTAACATTGTCACAAAGTGCTGTTCTGTTGTGGCATTTCACACCCTCTTCACAGCAGTGAGAATGATTCTGCAGCTTTGCTGGACAATGGAGGATGAAGCCCTATAACTAAAAAGTACAGAGGGAAATGCAGAGAAAAATTAAAATGACTTGAAGAATGCTATCAAGCCAATCCCATTTCCAGCCTGCTTAGGACTGACCATGTGTTCCACGTTGCTTATGTTCTTTTATCTGCATTTAGATTATTAGGTATTTGGGTCACTTTTCCTGTATCTTGGGGCAACGTGACTCCTGCGTCTCAAAGGTATTTTAGGTACCTAAACTCCAGCAATTCAGAGTTGGTTGCCTCTCTGGAGTCTTTAGATGCTTTCTCCTAGCAAATACCAGTCTGCTTTCAATTCTTGCTTCTCCAGCTTCCAGTAAGGGACCATCTCTCTTCCTGCAGTATGTTAGATTTTTTGTGACTGTTGAATATTTTTCACTTGAGACCTTCCATTTCTTGCAAGCTGTTGGGGGATGTTTTGTGCCCTGAGGTGTGTCAGTCAGAGAAACAATAGATAACCTTCTTTATCTGATTAGGTAGGCCATCTGTCACAAGGTTGCTGATGCTGCTGAGGTGAGGAACCTACCAGTCTTTTGATTGCAATGGGACAAAGGTCCAGATTTATGTGGTCATATTGAGTAATGTCTGCAAATACTAACCATCGTGGATGGCCAAACTGCAAAGACTGCAAAAGCTCTAATGGAGAAGAAGACAGTTTCTAACCAGTTATTAAGGGCACTAGCATTGTATAGTTAATAATGGCTCCATTTGCATGATATGGAAGGTAGTTGGGTAGATGGGAAAGAAGATGGCTTTGTAACCCCAACAACTTGCCTAGAATATTACTGTCTAAGTCTGATTTAAAAAAAAAAAAAAAAAGATAAAAAATGTACACTCTTTTATTTATTTCATAGGAAGCTAGAGACTTTCTTGAATTAAAATTTGTGTCAGCTCCATTATATACTTTGAAAACTGGACTTCCTGGTGGGAAGGGTTTGAGTCAAAGGGTAAAGTTTAGAAATGATGCATAAGGCAAATTCTGGTGCAAGGACCCTTTAGTAAAAGCTAAAGCACTAAAGTTGGCATGTTGGGGAATTTAAGTGGTGCTTGAGTGCCCAGAAGAAACAAGGGGGAGGTTGAGGCTTCACACCATTATACTCCTTGTCACAGAGAAGAATGACACTAGCTGAGTCAGCTGCAAACAGACTCCCTGGAGCTAAACAAAATAAAAGAGTAGGTCTCAACACCAGTGCCAAAGGACACTGACTCCAAAGCAGTAGCCTACTCTGGGCAGTTCTGTACTTTGTTGTCAGTGTCAGTGTGGACTGTGGAAGTGTCAGTATCAACACTATCTTCCTACTTCCAAGTGTTTGTGAGCAATGCCAGAGAAATCAGCTTGAAATAACGGTCAGCTTTAAGCAATCAAAGTGTCTGTGAGGTTGAGTTTCAGAGCCCCTGCCCTACAGTGCTGCATACTCTGTTTTCACTTTATTCCAAATGGGACAAGTCTTATGACTGACAATATGGTACAACTTCACTGAGCTCCAAAAATGTCTGGCATGTTGGAGAGAAGTTACATGTAACTGTGAGTGGTGTTTGTATTATTTTAACTAGGGCTTCACTGGTTATCATTCACTCCCAGTTCTGGTTAATAAACTTTCTCAAAATGAGATCAGGACAGTTGCCTCTCACTAAGGAGACTTTCAAAGACAGCTCTTCATTAGATAAACAACAGCAAAGCTCCTGTGAACTCAACAGAGCACTACTGACTGAAGAGCTGTCCCTGAAAATGTTCTAAACCAAAATATCAGTTCCATGTGAACTAGGAGTCACTGTAAACAAACAGGCTTTGATGGGACCTATATATAAAAATATAAATATAAAAATACTTGTATAAACATATGTATAATTAAATAATTAGGAATTAATTAACAAATGGTCTGAATTTATACTATGGGAGTTCTCATTAGAAGAGTCAATATTGAAAAATTTGACCTTCAAAGCATTCATAAACATCCTCCTGGTATCCCTGTGAAGTAGATGAGTATTATCCATGCTACTTAGTTGAAAAAGCATAACAGGACAATCATTTTTATTTTACATTCTTGCATTTGCTTGTACGTGAAGAACGTACCGTAATCTTAAACAAGTTTATTTCTGGCTTTTTAAAGTTATTATCTATCACTCTAGTTACCTGCTTACACCTCTTGAGGACAGAAGACTGATTTGACATATGATGGTGTACACCAGGAGTGGACCTACTCACACAGAACTGTAACGCCATCAGGCATGAAAACGGTGGCACAACAGCACAACATGAAGCACATCCTTACGGTACGTGTGTGTGTACATTGCAGCAGCACCACAAACAGTTGCTAACAAGCTCATACACGCTTAGCATAAATGTATAGAGGGGATGGTTGCATTGTATACATATGCAGCTCTCCAATCATAACAAAACTTACATCGCCCTTCTCTCACTCTTGCTTTGATGTCAAGTTTAGAGCCTTTTTGCTTATAAACACTTTCACATTAAGTTTTAATGATTTTAAGTAAATACGTCAGCGTAAGATTTTTTTCCTCCTTTCATCCCAGGAACTGACACACCAACTAATACAACACATGCTCCTCTCTTCAAACTTTTCACTTACCTGCCCACTGTTAGCCAAGTCATCCACAGACAGAGAAGGGTCCAGCCTCAAGGATAACCCAAAGTCACAGAGACAGCAGGTTAAATCATTTTTCACCAGGATGTTGGAACTCTTTAGATCCCTGTGCACGATAGGTGTTTTGGGGCGACCACAGGGTGTGTGATCACTATGCAGATGGGCAACCCCTCGGGCCAAGGACCCACCCAGTTTCCAAAGGTCCTCCCAGCTGATGATGTGCCGTGTAAGATATTCCTGCAAGTTTCCTCTTGCATGGAAGGCAGTGATCAGCCAATACTGTTTACCAAGATCTGTCTTACGCTCTTCTGCTGTCAGGAACTGGAGAATGTTCTCATGCTTGAGGTTTACATCTGAAAAAATGTCTTTCTCAGTTTTCCAGGAAGCATATTCTTCATAGGGGAAAATCTTGACTGCCACAGTTTCATACTGCTCCGATGTGTTTTGCTTCAATTTGGCTTTATACACTTCAGCAAACCTTCCTTTGCCAACAACAACGTCCAATTCAATGGGCAGCAATTCTGTGTTGTGGTTGATGTTGTTGGCACAGGTAGAGCTGATGTCTGAGCGGTCATCATCTAACATAATGGCACAAACATCACTGCAGTCCTTATGTTTCCTGGGCTTAACATTCTTCTCCCATGCCTTGTTGAGTTTCCTTTTCTTATGAGTGCGGTAGGCATAAAAGATAACAATCACAGCAACAGAAATCACTAGTAATGGGACAAGACTTATGATTGTGACTTTGGAAATTTCATCTTTCTCCTCTGGCTTATGAGGGTCATCTGTAAAGAAGAGCAGAAGGAAGGCATACATTAAATGATATCGTAGCTTCATGTTTACAAGAGGCTTCTAACAATTATATTTTTTTATCCAGAGCACAATACATGATCTTGTCCACTAACAGTAAATAATAAAAATCGTCACTGCTTTCTTTCTTCAAAATGCTGTTTTGTATATAGGCCTCCACTTACCAGGACATCCCTGTCTACTTATTTTATAAAAAGTCATAAATGAATGAGCAAGAACCTAATGTAATGTAGTAGCTTTGTTCTTCTCTCAGGCTCTTAATACATTATGGATGAAACCTTCACTTTCCTGAACACAATAGCCAAAGTTTCCTGCACTTACTCTGTTGATGTATTCATGGTAGATCTGCCACTTTAACTAGTAATTATTAGAACACATTAATTTTTTTAAGATAAATAAATAGACAATCCAGCATGTGAATTCCCACTTGCCCAGCTATCACTTCAGATGCAGTGTATTTCAGTGGGATCCATGTAAAGACAAAAAGCCTGTCTGTGCACAATTACTGTATGTTAATATTCAGGCACAATATGTAAGCCTGCACACACATCTGCAAGACAAAACTCATTCTCATCGTTTCATGTATGTGAAAGACTGTTGCTAGAACAAAATCAAACACCTGTGCATATACAGGTGTTTGAATCCCGCAGGCAAAATCAGGCATGTATGATACACCAGAATTGTCACCCCCTCATACACTTTTTGCATAGATTTATGTATCTGAAAACTTCCTCTGTGCGGCACTTGCCAGCTGTACATTGGCTGTCCTGTTGTAAAGCAGTAGATGGTTCACATCAAACTCCATAGCTGGTGCAGTCCACACACTAACACATTCTTAGGTGGAATATACAGGGAATAGAAGAAAAACAGGGACATATTCTACAATAGGGAGATGTTCTGGGAATGGCACAGATCATTATTCTAGAGGCAAGAGCTGCCCCGTCACCTCTAGAAGTGACTTTCTAGTTCAGTAATTCTTAGGGAAGATAAACAGTTTAAAAGGGAACAGTTTTATTCTGAAAACAGATTAAAGAAGGAGGCTCAGAGTTTATCTGAACCTGATTTGATCAGACACATGGAAATGTACTCTCCCAGTCTATTTCTTCCTTTGAGTCAGAGCAAATGTACTATATTACCTTTCCATGAGGGATGGGATTAACAGGAAGAAGCCCTTGGAGTTTAACTTGATTGGACTAAAACAACTGAAGTTGCAACCAGAGTTAAGCAAGCGGCTTGTTTTGGCAGCACAATGCTGTGGTGGGTACTCACAGCAATGTCACTGACTCACGTGCTGTGCATTGGGCCAAATAAATCAGTATGAAAAATAAAAGTTTAATAAGCTCTGAAGGGAAGTTGCCACTAACTACATTAGCCACAAGCCTCTGTTTCACCTACTCTGTGCCTCTCAAAATGAAGGTGAGCAATGCTGAAATGGGTGGGGGGGAAGGAGTTTACAATTAGAACAAGCGGTATTTCTGACCCTTGTAATCATTTTTCCATTGGAAACACAGTTAGCTGGCAAGCAGCAGGAGCCATCAACTATTCAAAGGCAGGTGACAAGACATCTGAAGAGTATATTCTTCTTTATTTGGAAGAAGGCCTGAATCCTGAACCAGGATGTGCTTCCTCTGTTTGAAAGGTTCATCAACCAGATGTAGAGCAAGTAATTAAATCCTAGCCTCTCTCACAGGGTTTCAGGGAAGAGGAAGTGCCTTTCTAGCACTGACATTCCCAGCTCGCATAGGTCAGTTGCATTCACTAGCAGCACCTACAAAGAATGTATTATTTCCTTCATTTATGCAAAATAACTTTATAAGCCAATCCTTTCTTCCACACCTATGCAAACCACAGATCCTTATTCTCAAGTGATTTCCCTTGGCAACAAAAAGTTAGTAAATTTTAAACAAAAAAACCCCCAAACTTAAAAGTTCATCACAGATTACAGGCACCCCTTCTGCTTCTCAACATGTTGAAGAGGGAAAAAAAAAAAACCCTTTTTTTTATGGCGCTTACTGGAGGAATATATTTAGAAAGTCCAATGTCACTGTCAGTAAAGAGAAGATTTGCATTGCCTAGTCCCACGTGCATTCTTCATTCTCAGAAAGTCTGCTTTATAAAGAACTTGGGAAACATGCTGGTGGAGGAGAACTGACTAGGTTGTGGGATGGCTGTTTCGGAGTTTTGGCTGCAAGCAGGACACAACTGCATGAACGCAACTATGACCTGTAACAATCAGACAAAATAGTTTTGATGAAGATTTGGGGTTCTGTTTTGTTTTTTGTTTTTTTTTTTTTACCTTGACCACAGAAAAGCATGCTTAAATTTTAGATTCTGCTCTTGGAACTGAGTAATATGTCATCTATATCATACAGTATACTTTTAAACAAAGATGAACATGCCTCTTTAGGGCTCCTTAAGCCCCTTTTCCTTTGCCACAGAGCTGCAATATGTAGCCCAGATATTTGAAATAAAATGTCTTTGTAAATGAGGGAGGAAAAACCCAAGATGTATTAGTTCTCTTTCAAATTTCTCCCCAAGCAGTTGGAGACAGCTGGTGGATGTTCAGCTCTAACTGAGAAGAAACTCACCCAAATCTACCACTCCTTGATGGTTACGGCTACCTGGGTGAGGGTCTCTAGTCACTCCTATAATGCCCTAGAGCAGGCTGTATTATTTTGGCCTACAGCTGAGAAGTCTCCAGCAGACTTCACAGCCCCTTTGGCTCTTCCTCTTTTTGCACAAGAGAAAGCTCTGCTTGTGGTGCAGGGGGATTTCTGGGTGGAAGGCAGAAATTGTTGATGTTGCAAATGTCACTTGAAAAAGAATGAAAAAAAAAATTCTGATCAAAGCAGAAGCTGAGCAGATTGGCCACTTCCCCTGAGCACTGTATCGTCCTGCACCCCTACTGCAAAGTGACACATCCGCTTTGGCACCGTCCCTGGGAGGAAGTAGGGACGCAGCGGGTGAAAAGCATACAGCTGCACATCCCCACCTAAAGCAGCAGGGGTGAAGGATGTGCTCATTTTCAGTTTTTAAGACACTAGATAAGTCCCACTCAAGGCTTGGGAAGTGCAAGAATGAGCAGCACATGGGGAGAACTGAGTGTCAGGACTGACAAGGCTGGACTCTGAGCTTAGGAGGGGACTGAGCTGCCTCCCTGCAGAACTGAAGGGGACAGCAGCAGCAAAAAGCTGGTGGCACTGCGGGCTGGTATGAGCAAGACATTTCTGGAACTGCCTTTAATTTTGACTGCTGATATGAGCAGAACAAAATCAGCCCTCCCAGCACAAGTTACGGTTGGGGTACTTCTGTATTGAATCTCTGTATAAAGTCAGGGCAGGATCAAAATTCAGAGGATATGTGTATGTTTGCATAGTGGTTAGCTAACATTTTCTGGCTTGACTACAAGAATCTAAGAATAAATATGCTTATAAATAAATACCTATGACTTAAACACCATCATTTCAAAAATGGGAGTGCAGCTTCCTCTTTCTGAGCACTGGAATGAGCAAAACCTGGCTGCACAGGCAGGCAAGGAAATGGTTAAATGAAAGAGTCTTTCAGGTTTTGCAAACATGCTCCTAAATAACTTTCCCCACCCAGAACTATTATTTAGGCAGATCAGTCCTTTCTTAAGCTTCAAAAGAGCCTATTAATATAGCATAACAATAGAGAAGTTGAGCTAAAAGAAAGCTTCCTGTATGTGGTTTAAAGCAAGCACAAGCCATCTGCACAACCCTCAACGCTACCTAAGCCTTTAGGGAATAGGGCTCAGGTGCCAAGGAAAACGGAAACACTGCACAGCCCCTGTTCAGTCAGGAAGCTTCAAAGCACAACATTGCTGTGCCTGCAAATTTTTTTTTAGGTTGGACTGTGTGTCTTTGATTGAACTTTGGTGTCACTGAACTTTTGGAAACAAGAAATAAAACAATGGCAATAAAATTAGGACCTGCACGCCAATGCAGAGGGCAGCAGAAATGCCCAGCCAGTACTGCCAGAACTGCTTCAGTGCTGGTTGCTGCTGGTGCAAGTTCTAAAGTCGCCGCTTATTCAACTGCTAGTCAAAGCCACACAGCAGGGCAAGAATATATTTAATATAAATAGAACCCAGGTTAAACATATCAACACTGATATATTGCAAGTTTGTCTAGTGTCTTAAAACCCCCCAGAAACACACAGTCACAAAATACAGGCCCAGCCCCAGGACTGTTATTCTGCAAGCTTCTGAGACACAAAACAGCCCTTTGAGCCGACTGCAGGACAACTCTGTTTTGCAGCAATTCTGAGGTTTCAAAGTTTGGTTTCAATTCCACACTGGAATGAAAACTAACACTTTTTGAATGTTTTTGCATAAACAGAATTCTGTTCAAATGTTGCAATTTGGCAAAAGATGTTAGTGCTGAAGCCCCACCACTAAGGGGACTGGCTCTGGGGTATGGGAGCTCCAAATTCAAGTCCTGCTCTGTTTGATTCAGGGAAGAGCTTTTCATCTCCGGTTAGTCTGAATCATGCAAAATGTGAGTTTGAACCTTACATACCTTCATACCTTTGAACCTTACATACATTTCTGGGCAAGACACTAGGCAATAAAATATGGAAAAGTCTGCTCATCTCTTTACTGCTACTTTCTGGATGAAAACTAATTCTATAAAATGCTTCATTTTCAGTGAAATGAAGTTTCACTCCGAGCAGCTGTTTGGGGTAATTTAGTTTATGTCTGTTAAAGAATCCTCGAGTGACAATGAAATTCTGTAGTTCAGTTGTCTCAAGTACTTTTCTGATTTTGATCTTTTTAGAAGTAAAATGACTCAGAAATCTTCAGCAAAACATTTTTAGATGGGAAATGTTGATTTTTCAAAACAGAAACTCTGCTTCTGGCATTC